ACAACATTCCAACAACTTTCAACAACATTTCAACAAGCCACCAACAATGGATCAACAGTTGGACCAACTGTTTTTCAACAGTTGGTCCAACAGTTGAACACACAAGTTTCAGTGTCCCCAATATACGGCCAGTGTTGGTTTCCTTCATTTTGTGTTGAACATACACACCCCCCCCCGGCCAGCAGTTTATAAACAGTTGAAATGTGGTGTAAACATAGGTCCAACGTGGCAAAAAAATTGGCACATTTTTTCTGTTGTATACCATCGTGTAGGGCCGCTATGATATCAGTTTGTCGGTTTCTCCCACATACGATCCTCTTGGGGTTCCCGACCTGCCGCTTTATAAACAAGTGACCGTCTCTTACCACATAGAGGTGCCTCATCTTCTGTGCCTTGGCACTCACATCTCTATCCCTTATCTCACATGATAGGGGCAACCCCAATTCCCGGTAGATCCCATCGTACTCCTCCGCCCGAAACGCCTCCTTGATTTCCCCTTCCTCGAATTCGTCGTCTCAACTTTCAGGAACCAGAATCTTATTCTCCTCGTGACTGAACGGGCCCTTTCGGTCGAAGTCTCCTTGCAGGAGCGTATTGGTGAGCAGGTACATCCCTCCCATTAACTGCTCATGAAACTCAACCTGAGTGGGGTTTTCCTCTATTGTCCTCACTTCCTCCACCAGACTATGCGTACCTGTCAACGCCAACTTCATCATCCAACCAACATCCTTCCTTCCCCACGGATCCTCCTCCTGAAAGGGCTTGAGGACTAAATCTTCCTTCTGCTCGTACCCCTTTGGTGCCAGCTATATGGGGTGGCTGACACAACTAGGCACTCGCAGGGACCATTCGTTTATGTGCAGGCGGACGTCCTCCTCTTGATCCAAAAACCCATCAACTGGCGGCGTGTCTTCTATCGATTCCTCGTCCGATCCGTCCCAGTTGATGCGGCTTAACCCATCTGCCATATTCTTGTTCCCTGGGATCCTTTCCAGCTCGAAATTAAACATCCAAATGTAGGTGAACCATCTTGCGACGGTTGGGTCAGATGGAGTATAATTCTTCAGGGAACATGCCAGTGCAGTAGGGTCCACCCTCAAGATGAGCCTCCTGCCAAAAACATAGTTCCGGAAGGTCCTTAGGCAATGGAGTACCGCCAACGTCTCCTTCTTGAACTGAGAGTAATTCCTCTCAGTTGTATTGAGGGTACGACTTTCAAATCTTAGCGGCCTCTCCTTCCCTTCAGTATCTGTCTTATTCAGGAGTCCTCACAGGGCAGTTGGCCCAGCGTCCGTCTCAATGACGAATGGTCTTTCCTCCGTGGCCTCATAATTTGGCGCTCTCAATACCAGGCCCCCTTCCTTAAACTCTCCCTTCATCCTACCGACCGCCTCTTCCTGGTCTTCACCCCAGACCCATTCTTGATTCTGGCGCACCAACTTCCTTAAATGCTCCGTCTTCGTGGCAAAGTTCTTCACGAAGCTCCTCCAAAATCCGCATGTCCCAAGGAAGCTCCTCACATCCGTTATCGAGCAGAAGGGCACTGGCCACTCAAGAATCTTATCTGTCTTCTTTACATCAGGCCTCCGCCCACTCTCATTGCAGACGAATCCTAGAATCGTGGCCTCCCTCATACAATGTTTCGACTTGGGGCAGCTCGCCGTCAGGTTATGTTCCTCCAATAACCCCAGAACCTGATCGATGTCTTGGACATGCTTCCAGACAAAGCGCCGCACACCGGGTATCACTTCGTCTTCCTCCTTCTCCTTCGGACCTTTGACCGTCAGGTCATCGATATAGGGCTGGGTGATATGTGGGTTAACCGTCTACATGGTTCTGATCATATGCCTTTGCACCATCGCCACTGCATTCGTCCAACCTTGAGATGCCACATTCATATGAATCAGCCCTCTGGGAGTGTGCATTGTCGTTTCCGGGCCTGTCTGGCGGGTATACGGGGAATTGATCATACCCCGAGTAGAGGTCTATAAGCGAGATTATAGGCCTCCCTGCGCTCAATTCTGACAATGCGTCTGCGTTCGGCAATCCTCCCGCGTCCCGCACTGTCACCGCATTTAACCGTTGTAAGTCCTGTACCCACCTTAGCGTCCCATTTGGTTTAATAAAACAAAACCAAGGCGACGCGTACGGCCCACTGGAATAATCAGCCGCGTGCGTCCGCATCTTGCCGTCCAGGTAGTCCACCACCATTTTTTCCTCGTCCGGATTCGGGTACCGCGCGCCCCTTAGATTCCATGGCTCATGTGGGACCGTGTGGATCCTGATCATCAGAATCTTGTCCATATTCAGCCTCTCACGCTCGTCGTCGTTGAATGCATACGCGCGGTGCCTTTTCTTCATCAGCCCCACCATCAACGCTCTCTCATGGGGCGACAGGAAGTCGGGCTCCCCAATTATCAGCTTCCCCTCATTTTCGTCGTTGATACGGCACGGCCCGGCCAACGCGTGCTCCCTCATACGCCGTATCAACCCTCGCTCCCACTCGTAGTAGGCTTCCTCATCCTCTGTGACGAGCACGGGAACTGGGCGGCACTTCTTATCTATGGTCTTGTACCGCCTTTGGGAACCCTACTTAAGCCCTCCCCTAAAAAAGGCCGACTTGTCGCTCGGGCCGGGGCCATCGCAGGGCCTCCTCTTCCTCCCGGAAGCCGATACACCAACTCCACCTCCCCCACCTGAGGATTCTCCAACACTTGTTCCCTCAATGCCTTAATGGCCTCCGGATCCGCCATGTCGTGAGCCGATACCACTTCCATGGCCTTATTCACATCCGTGAGGCTCAATGTCAGCACCTCAGCCCTATCTTCCTCCTCTGGCACTTCCCAAAGCCGTCTCCGCTCGTCCTCTGACTCCTCAAAGGTGAACGAGCCTAGATTGGGCCTATTCCTCCCGCTCCCCGGTCCCGTGTTCCGGCAGGTGATAACTTCATAATTCCCACACGCCGGGTCGCACAGGAGCAGGCTCATTGTTCCGTCGTGCTTGTTGAAGATCAATATTTCCGTCCGACACAAGAACGACCTCCCCAGGAGGATGGGGTGATCGACATCAGGCATAACGAAAAAATAAGTCCTGGCTCGCACCTTCCCAATCTCTATAATCACATTTGACGTTGTGCCGCAAAAGGCGGCCTTGCAGTTAGCGCCGTGCAGCATGCCATGGTCCGAGCGGTCGATCTCCATGCCTATCATCACTGCCTCCTTCTCCCTGATGATGTTCATCTCTGCGCCCGTGTCCACCATCCCAGTACACTTCTGGTTCCTTATCACCAAATCCACCTGCCCGCATGCCACACACTTCCAATCCATCCTTGTCCCTGCCTCAGTCCACTCCACCTCTTTAGGCATGACCGTACTTAGATGGACATTTGGCACCAGCCTTCGCGAGAGTCGCCCTTTCAACTCCCCACGGAGCCTTGGCGCCGACGCCAGGATATCCTTCAGGTTCATTAAGTCATTATGGCCTTCCAGGAGCTTGTCCACCATCCGTTCCACATCAAAACCTTCCTCCATCCGAACCGCGTACTTCTTCCTCTTAGGTACGCTGTCGGGTAGGCTTGGCTAGGCCTCCTCCCGGGCTCCTCTCTTTTTGGCCCTCAGCTCCGCCCGCAGATCCTCCTCTTGTCGGAGCCTCTCATCCTCTTCCTCTTCCTCCGGAACCTCCACCACCTCCTTCCTACGTCCAGGCTCCGGCTCCTTTCGAGGGGGTGCCTGACTGGGCTCTTGACTGGGCTCTTGACTGGGTCCAACCTTATTTTGGCTCCTGGTCCGAGCCGCCTGCGGCACCCTCCCATGGGACGTGGGGGTTCTATAGGTCATACCTGACCTAGGGCCCGTCCCTACAGTCGCCACTCTTGGGCACCCTTGTTGTCCTGGCGACGGTTCTGGCCCGGAGTCATAAAGGAAGACCTCAGGCAGGTTGGCCTCCCACTCTCGGGCTTCTTCACACAGGGCTTGCAGCTTCCGTTGGTATCCCCCCACCTTTTCCAGCAGGTCTTTCATCCCCCCCAGGAGGAGTGTGGCCGGCTCTCCCTCACCTTCCTGCCCCTCATCGTCCGATTCGACGACTATTAGTTCCTCGCTTATAGTCCCTGCCTTTAGTCGCTAAGTGACCTCCTCGCTATCTCCCACAATCTCCTCAACCTTTATGGCCAACTCTTCTTTCTCCTGCCACATCCTGAACATGGCTGGGGTTGTCGATGGCCCTGCCGCCGCTCGCCTAAGAGCTTCTTGCCTGATTCCTCCCGGGGTCCTAGGATCGATATGCTCTCCCCACTTATCGTATATATCCCCGTCCATGCAAGAGGAAATTAGACCTGCCAACTCATCATCTCGTCGTCGTTGGAAAAACCATATAGTATGGCCCACCTCGCTACAATGCCAGCAGGTAGCGTTTCGCCAATCAAAGCAGGGCCTCCCATACCCTTGGCCCCCCTCTTGGCCACCTCGACCACCTTGGTTCTGACCCCCCTGACTATTCCAACCACCCCCACGACCCCCACCATTTCCTCCTCGGCCTCGGCCGCCACCTCCTCGACCTCCTTGGCCTCGGCCTCCATTGCCTTGTCCTTGGTTTCCTCCACCGGCCACACTAGCCTGCGAGGCCTGTTGGGAGGGAGGTGGTTGGGCCACAAACTGACCCTGAGCCGCAGGGTAGCTCGGGGGCCCTATACTTGCCGCTGGGCCCGCATAAGGAACCATTTGCCCGGGCTGAGTCTTACCACCCCCGCACGAGGCGCAGTGATTACAACTGGGCCAGGACATAGGCTGACAATGCGACACCCAGTGCCCACAAGCCGGCGGCGGCCCCATACATGACGGCCCGGCCGTCGCTGACGTTGTCGTGGCAGCAGGTGGCGGCGCAGCAGTCGCTTGCGGGACCTGCCCTTTTCCGGATCCTTGACCCCCCACTTGTAAATTCCGCTGCTTCCTCTGGGCCTTGGTTAGGATCTGGGAGCCCGTCTCTTCTCCGCCATAGTCCTCGCGCCTAGCCTCCTCTTCCACTGCCCCCGACGCCCGGCCTTGGGCCACGGTCACTCCCCTCTTTTGCACTTCCGCCTCATTATCATACCCCCGCGCTGCCAATACGTCCGTGACGATCCTCTTCACCCCTGGGGTCCCGGACGCGGTGGCGTCCCTTTCCTTTCTCTTGCGCCTTTGCAGCCGCACCTGGTGCTGCTCCACCTGGTTCAGGCTCCCCTCTTCCACCCCCTTCTCTATAGTGGCCCAAGTGAGTTTCTCACTTCCCCCTCCGTGACCCGTCAGCTCCCAGGCCTCCGAGCGAGTAAGCAGACCCAAAAATATCGCACACTGCGTTTCTTCGGAGATCCCGTGCACCTTCCGCGCCTTCCTTTTAAACTCGTGCACAAACGTCCCAATCGTGGAAAAGTCATTCTTGTTCATGGCCTCCAAATCCGCCATGGTTAGCAAGCCATCCCCCAACCTGTACTTTTTTTGCATCATGTCCCTGAACCTCGCCCAACTACCATTGGCGGCATCCACGACCTTGCCCACTTCCTGATGGTGGCTATGGAGGACATATCTTAGGACTCGCTGGAGCTTGACCTCATCCGACAACCCTACCAGTGCTTGCTCTGTCAGGTCCAGCCAGTCGGACACCCGTTCTCCCTTGAAGTGGAAAGTATCAACCTTCGGGACGTTGCTCGGCGCCCTCTCGCGCTTATCCAGGGCGTCGATGAGGTCGTCAAGCGTTACAAGCTTCCTCCCTCCATCCGCTATCTCCTCAGGCATTTTGATTAACCGCCTTCGGCTTTAACCCCCCTGTTATAAGAAGCGATAGGACGAAAGGTTCCACTCAGCAGTCCATTCCTTCACAATCCTATCGGACCGACCCCCTAAGCACCCAACGCTTTGGACCTGGCAGGCATCTCTCCCTCTACTTCCTACCTCCTTTGGATTCACCCAAGTAAGACCCATTCTTATCACAAAGTTCACTCACATACTCGCCTCGTTCATGCCATCAGCCAAACCACCAATCAGATCAACATTCACACCCACACAACCATATAGACTACCATACGATCCATCTCATAGTTCTTCTCCTATTTGCTCACGTGCCTAGTGCTCTCTCATTCTCACATTACCCGGATATCGTTCCACCAGGGACAACGGTAGGCTTTCGTCATCCCCGATAACGGCGCCACCTGTCGAGCGCATCGGTCCGGCACCGCACATAGCCACGCGGGACCCTCTCGGCCGCGTCACGCAGGAGTTGGACCAACCACGACACAAACACGCGCATGGAGTTTCCTTAGGCCGCTCCGGCCGAGTAAGCCAGCCATACCTCTCGCGAGACCCTACGACAGGATAGGGCCTACGCGAGGCACAACTTACCTCCACCTTACGGGAGCTGTCACCTCCCTTCGGTGGGCGTATCCCCGCCGAGCTACCAGTCCACAGTACGAAAGCTACTCGGTTGCAATCGCAGAGGTGGA